AGCGGTGTGTTGGTCCACGCCTGGGATCTGAACCTGCGAACCCCGGGCCGCTGAAGCAGAGCACGCAAACTTAACCACTACACCACCAGGCTAGCCCCCAAATGTGACTTTTTGATAGTGGATAATGACATATGTCAACACTGCAAAGATCTGCATCACTCAGTGAACCAATATTTTCCAGGTGATCAATGTTAGGTGTTAAAAAATCATGTGTGAGCACAACATCCATTCAAAGTGCCAATCAGACCAATGGCTTTGACTGTCATTAACAGAGCTCAAAACCTTCATTAGATAAACTTTCAGATTCCACACTGCAGCAAAGCTCTGAGAAACTACCACTTGGTGAGTTTTGTATGGCATCAAAGAAAAATACCCACAATTATCTAATAAGGCAATTAATATATTTCTCCCTTTTCCAACTACGTAGCTGAGTGATGCCAGATTTTCAACCAAAACAACAAATCAAAGTAGCCTGACTGAAGGAGCAGGTATGAGAATTCAGCAGTCTCTGTGAAGTCAGATGTTAAAAAGTTTTTGCAAAAATGTAAAACAATGCTGCTCTTCTCACTCAAATCTTATAGCTTGGGAAAATAATAGTTATTTTTCATTAAAAAATAATTTTATTTATGTTAATACATAATGGGTTTATTACTGTTATTTTATAATAAATTATTGAAGATTTAGACCTGTTCTCAGTTTTAATTTCTAAAACAGTAAATACCAATAGATCTAAACCATATAAACAAAAGCTCTTTGGGGCCTGCTCGGTGGCACAAGCGGTTGAGTGTGTGCGCTCTGCTTCGGAGGCCCGGGGTTCGCGAGTTCGGATGCTGAGTGTGCACCGACTCACCGTGACACCGTGTGTCACGCCATGCTGTGGCGGCATCCCATATAAAGTAGAGGAAGATGGGCATGGACGTTAGCTCAGAGCCAATCTTCCTTAACAAAAAACAGGAGGCTCATGGTCAGATGTTAGGTCAGGGCTGATCTTCCTCAGCAAAAAAAGAAAAAAAAAAGCTCTTTGGCGTCCTCAATTTTGTAAGAGTGTAAAGTCGTCCAGAGACCAGAAATGTTGAGAAATGCTACCCCAAGAAACAGATTTACACGCACACATCTTTAGTGTGGTGTGACATAAAGGCAAAAACGAAAAGAAAAAGTGGAAATGACTTAAATGTCCAATAATAGGGAAGTGGCTAAATAAATTATGGTGCCTCCAATCAGCAGAACATTACGTAGTCATTAAAAATTATGTTTTTGAAGAGTATTTATCGTTGTGGGAAAATGCTCAATACACTCGATATGCTGCTAAGTGATTAAAAAAGGAAAGAAACAAATCTTCATTATCATCCTTTCTGCAATGCCTCGATTCTCGGAGAAATCAATGACACTTGGGGAAATCAACAGACACCCCAAAGGGGTCCCACAGGCCACAAGCCCCCCATGTGTGTAGGGCTGGGGTCATGCTGGGACTCTGGGGTATGTTTGCACACATGATGACACCATTCTTTCTTAAACAATCGTTCAGGGCTTCCACCTTTAAACTCACGGCGAAACCAAAATCCCAAACCAAACCTTCCCAGACTCATCCCCGAAGAAACAAAGCAACCTTCTAAACCCTGTTCTCCCCAAACTTGATTCTTTGCCGGAGGTTGGAACCATGGGCTGATGTTTTGGGTATTTGCTTGAGTTCCTAATTCTCTTACATGCTGGAAAATTCCGGTCTCGTCTAAACCCAGACTAAAGACGGGGGATGGGCATGTGGGGACCCACCTGAGTGGAAGTCTCTGGGGGACTCTGCGTTTTCCCATCGCAGGGACACTGGCTGTTAACAAGTGTCACCCAACATCTGTCGCTCACTTGGCTTGTGCAATTATTCTCCTTCTCCTCATTACGAGCATATAAATCCCTTTTCATGTCCCAGCCTCCTTCTGCCCACATCTGTCTGCAATTTGCTCACCACGTGCTGTGGCTGGGGAGGAAGCATCTTATTTATGACTTTGTAGGATGCCAGGCAGGATGTTCGGGGTGGCTGAAGGTGTCCACTTCACTGCTCTTTGGGAATACCGACCTTGAGCTTAGATGGGTTTGGGGGGGTCTAAGTCTGGGCCACTCCTAATGGGAACCAGGAGACCAATGTCTCCAAGCAGATCCCAGGAGGTCCGCCAGGGCCTCTCTCATCTGATAATCATTAAGTATTTGCAGTAATGGTACTAGGCACTGGGCCAAGCACTTTATATCTCATTTAATCCTCATGACAACCCTCTGAAGTAGCTACTGTTATCAGACCCAATTATAAGAAAAACAAGTATTATTATTGTTACTCTCAGCCAGGGAACTATGGTTCAGAGAGGTTAAGGAATTTGCCTAAGGCCACACAGCTAGTCAGTGGTAGAACTGGGATTCAAGTCCAGATCTGACTCCAGAGTCTGCTGTCCCCATTACTGAGATACAAGGGCCTCCCATCTCTCTCAGCCAGGTTGACTTCATCCCCAGAGGGAAGATGAGGTATGCTGGGGCAGTGGAAAAAGTTTCTGACTCTGCTGCTAGTTAGCTCTGTAACCTTGGCCAAGTTACTTAACCTCTCTGAATCTCATTCAGGCATCTCCACCCGTGAAAGGGGGTTAGCACCTCCTAGCAGGATTGGAGTGAATGGCCGATCATGTGCTTACACCAGTGCTGGCATACAGTCGGCGCTCCATAAAGCTTTCCTTTAACGAATACGGACCAGTCCTTGTTGATGAGATTATTGTTTCTATAAAGGAGCCGCCCCATCAGGCAGATCTCTGGGTCCCAGGGAGGACCATGGGTGAGATAAGAAATCTTACAGCACAGGGCTAGGAAGAAACGCCCGCACAGCTCCGTGCCATGTGCCCTAAAGAGAGAAGGATGCACATCACAGTAACAGCCAGCTCCCACTGAGCAGAAGCTGCCACCACCTTCACAGACGTCACCTCATTTAATTCACCGTTACTGTCCCCTCACTCAGATCAGGAAACGGAGGCTGGAGAGGGCGAGCTGCCTGTCCCAGGAGCTGGGGAGCAGTGGGGTAAATGAGCCCCCCTCACTCCCCTGCCCATTCCTTTAGGCCCAGGAACAGCTGAGGGAGGTTTTTCTCCTCCTCTCAGGTCCAGAAGGGCGAATGAGGGGGAGAATTCTCTGCCTGGCCAAGGACATGGAAGGCAGGGTTCTCTGTCCCGGGAGAAGCGCTGGCACAGGTGGCTGAGATGGCATTTGGCTGCCTCCTGAGGCAGTCCCGACTCCACAGGACCACAAAGCCCAGCGAGACCACAGGACACCAACCTGCACAGCCCGGGCCCAGCGGCACTTCCTCATGGGAGATTCCTAGGACTCGAGTCTCTGTCCTGAGAAGGGGAAGGGATGTCACAAGGCCCCTGGGAAGCCCGGAGTGGAGGGCGGCTCGCACAGATCTGCCTAGACTGCTCGATGGTCGTGGAGAGAGAAAAAGTGTGCGTGCTCGGCACAACGACTTCCCAATCATGCCATGTCGGCTGGACCATAACACGTACCACCTGCCCGCGACAGCCTGGAGAGACCACCCAGAACACTGCCTGAGTGGCCCCACTGGAGACAAACCCCAAGAGAACACTGCCTCTGAGAGTAGCATGCATTGCTAGGAAGAACCCACAACGGTGCTGTAACGCCTGGCTGAGGGCTCACCTCTAGTGATGTCTCCCAGGCTTCCTGGGGGACGGTGAGTGGGTGTTGGACAGACAGCCTGCTTAGCCAGTGTGCTCACCTCGCACCCCTGGTCAGGGCAACATGGTAGAGCTGACGAACTGTCCAGAAAAATCCCCCCGCATTAGACTTGTAGCCGGGACATGGGAACCCAGACTCCCTGCACCCACGCGTGGCCACACAACCAAGCTCTTGCCAAAGAGAATCTCTGGCTCTCGATTTCGACTCTTTCCCCGGGTCTCTCCCAGGCCGAGGGGAGCAGAGATGCCCACCAGCCTGAAATGCTCCTCGAGATGCTTACAGAAGAGAAATAAACAGATTCTCTAAGCCACTCTGTTTTGGGGTCTCTTTGCTACAGCAGCCCGAAATAAAGCAATATACCTGCTTTGGCTTCAAAAATGAAGTATTCAAAGAGTATTTATTGTTCTAGAAAATGGTAAGTGGAAGCAGGTTGCTAAGTTTTATTGCCTTTTTTTTTTTCCCAGGAGAATCAAAGACTCTAGGGGGGGTCATGAGCATCAAGGCAGACCCCAAAGGCCATTTTCTCCCCGAGTGTTTCATGCCGGAGCTCTCCGAGCACTGTTAGGGGATGGCTTCCCACCTCTCTCCCAAGCCCCTCGAGTGTAGGCAGGCGGTCCCTCAAGAGGGGGGGCTGTCAGCCGCTGGAGTCCCAGGTCAGCCGTTAAGGAGAGCAGGCTGCACACTGGGCCCACTGGTCTCCTCATTTCCTAAAGCAGTTTCTGGCCACAGACACACTGGCCACATGGTGGTTCTGGGTCCGTGGTCCATCTCGGGAAAAGATCACCTGGGCCCCCACATCACGTTCTCTCTGAACCCCCTCCCCACCCGGGGCTGGACACTGCACTTCTCAGAGGGGAGCTCCTCCGGACCAAGCAATGTGAGAAGAGTGAGCAGGAGTGAAGTGCGGGGACGGACGGGTGCCCCCGCAGAAAATCCAGCACATCCACACTGTCCCATGAGAGGAGGTGCCAAAGGATCCCGAGAGTGCTGAGTCAGCATCCTGGATCAGCAAAGATGCCCACCCACCATTCACGCCCCAGAGGGAGGCACCCCACGACCGGCCATGACCGAGAACGTGCGGTGGCCGCACGGGAGGAGGGAATGACATCTGCACTCAATCCCGTAAGACGCAAAATTCCATCCAAAAAGGGACACGGCAGCCTCGGCTGGGGTCTCGGCTCTGGGAGACCCCCGTGTCCACGCCACTCCCCCTGCAGAGGTGGGACCCCGCCTGGTGCCCCAGGCAGGGGAAGGGAGGGAACTGCCACCGACTGGTCACTCACCCTGCAACGCTTCTTTGGCTCTGGCTAGCTCCTGCTCCTTCTGGGCCAGCTGGACCCTGAGCTCGGTGGCCGAGAGGACCTCAGAGGACTTGCCGCCCTGCGACTCCTCCAGGTCCTTCGTCAACATCTCCTTCATCTGCCGGAGAAGGTGGACTTCCTCCTGGAGCCGAGACACTTCTTCTCGCAGGAGCACTAGGGGAGAAGGGCACACGGTTAGCGGACGGGCACGCTGGCTCGCACTGGCTCACTTTTCCTGGAGACAGTTCCAAGGTGCCTTGGCTTCTCCTGTTTGCCCGGCACTCAGGGCCTTTCCTACAATGTGTGTCAGGGAGAAAACCCCCAAAGCCACCACCTTATTCCAAAGAGCCCCAGCCTGCAGGGCATGCCTGGGGGGATGCCCGCCATTCTCTAGGGCTCCACTGCTGCTGTCACTGCACCCAGAGTGTCCACTCCAATGGCCGCTGGTCTTCCTCCCCACAAAGGCAGGAAGAAAAGCGAGCAAGAGCTGACAGAAGCAGCAGTCTAGCCACGAGCCAGCAGCACGCCGCGTGATGCTTTACGGGCATTAGCTCATTCAATCCCACCCAAACCTCCTGGGGCAGATACCGTCCAGGCCCCACTTTACAGACCAGGAAGTTGAGGCTCAGAGAGATGAAGAGGCTCCACGAGGGCATAAAGTTAGTGGGCAGCAGAGCTGGGATTTGAACCCAGACCTGGCCGACTCCAGAGCCTGAGCAACTAGTCTGACTTTCAGGAAACAGCCCTAAAAAGGCGCACTCAACACATCTCACAAAACACACAGCCTTCAGGAGCCCAGCACCAGGCAGAGACGGGACTTCGGCATTCACACCCAACGTGCAGGAAAATGGGGTCTAATGAGTGGTCACAATGGCGACACCGTGGGCAGAGGTTTTCGTGGCACCGAAACCCAACCCCAGACACATGAGTGCCCAGGGATGAGGCCAAGAACGCGGCGTCCCTCAGGCCCTGGGGAGCCTGAAGGTATCCAGAAGGTGCACCGTTGTCGCACAGGAGTCCCTAAGCCAGCTCAGGCCTGCAGCACTGACACGCCCACATCCAGGTCTGCTCCCCTGAGCAACAACAGGCACAGAGCTGTGGAAGGCGCTGGAGGCGGGGGTAAAGCAGCCCCATTAGGCTGCCTTTACCTTTGCGACAGAACCCCTAGGACCGCGCAAACCCGGGCCAGGATGCTCACCTCAGGGATTAAAGGAGATTCTGACATATTCATGTAAGCAGGCCCCAAGGGTCTGGCCTCTGCCTACACCACTAAGCTCACGCGTGGCTCTCTCCTTCTTCCTCTCCCTCCCGCCACCCTGGGCCCTCTCGCTGCCACAGGCCAAGCGCTTTCCAGCTTCAGGGCCTTGGCCCCGGCAGCGCCCTCCACCTGGAACACCCTTTCCCCATTCTTCCTGTGGCAGCCTCCCCACTGTGACACGGGCCACACCACGTCCTCAGAGGGCCTTCTATCACCACCCTGTCTCATACTGCCCTGGGGGTCAGGGGTGCAGTCCTCCCCTGTGAGGGTCACAGAGGGGCAGGGCTGCGGCACAGCTTTCGAGTCACGGGGGCTACGGTCTGGCTCCCTCACTGACCAGGCGTGTGGTGACGAGCAAGTCCCTTCCCCTCGGAGCCTCAGATGCCCCATATGTAAAATGGGTTCAAACCTCATCAGGTTTTGAGGTTCCAATGAGACACAGGAGGGGGCCCTCCTCACACGGGCCTGGTCCATAGGATGAGCTCAGTGTACACAGGAGGCGCTCAATACTGGTAAGGTGGCAGCTGCCATTTCCCTGGCCACCTTACCCTCTATCAGTGCCCTGCATTCTCTACAGTGCTACCACGTGCACACCTCGGGGATCCTGGGCCTCGAGGCCGAGCCAGGTCTGGGGAGCAGAGGGCGGGCCGAGGGGGAGCAGAGCTGAGGCCTTGAGAATAGGGCGTTCCTCCACAACCAGAGCCCTTGGGAAAGGGTGGCGTCGACTCTGGCCCCTGTTACCTTGTCCACCGGGTCCAGCCGCCACCTGTGCAAAGGCAGGCCTCCCTGCCCATCCCGCACCTCCTGAACCCCAGCCAGTCTCCCCACAGAAGCCTAAGGGCCCTTTGAAACGCAGAGCACGTCACCTTACTCTTCACTGAAAACTCGCCCTGACTGCCCATCCCATCGGATTTTCCTCCAGCAGCTGCCTGGTCAGCCCTCTCTGACACCTCCCTCAGGCCACTGTGGGGGGGTTCCAACTTGACAGCACTTTGGATAACCTGAACAGAAGCCCCTATTGATGTGGGAGACCCACTTGTTTCCAGTCTGCGTGCCCAGTGGGCACAGCTCCCCGAAAGCAGGTCTGGTCGTCCTGCTCTGTCTTGCTCACTGTGGGTCTCGTGCCTGCAACAGCATATGACGACACATCACAGCTGAATGACCCCCTCCAGCCCTCCATCCACCCAACAAGCGTTTATGGGCACCTGCCCCACGCCAGACACCGCTGCAGACACGGGGGACCCCTGGGCGAGTGTCACAGACAGGTCCCGCCCTCAGGCTGGCACTCCCAGACCCCACTGGGAACATGGGTCGAAGGACCCCAAATCTGCACCCTGAGGAGGCAGCCCGTCTGCGAGGGAGTGCCTGGCTGCTCTGACCTTGATGGACTCAAGCGCAGGCTGGGAACCGCCCAAGTTTCTTAGCAAAACTGCGAAGTAGGAGGTTTTGCTTTTGGGGCCCCGCCCCTGCCCTCATTCCAGGCAAACTTCTGCAGGCTGTCTACACTGCAGGCTCGGCACAGGGTGTCCAGACGGGAGCAGGAACACCCTTGGCCTCAAGAAGCCTCCAGGGAGTAGAAGCAGCACACACAAGTAAGCCTGATACACAGGAGGGGCTGCATCTGCTTGGGGCACCAGGACACCTGAGACAGGCCTTGGAGGATAGGGGGTGAGCAGAGGGAACAGCACGAGCAGAGGCAAGGAGGCGGGAAAGCCAGCAGTCCCTGGGTGACCAGTGAATGGGTACGAGGTGAGGAAGAGCAGGAGGAAGCCTGGGGAGGCACACTAGGGTCAGATTATAAAAGGTCTTAACCCTGGCCGCCCCTCTGTGCCCCCAGCCCTGGCTTGCCATCTCCAGCAGTACTCAAGACTCTGGAATCTTCATTCTTGCTCCCTGCTCTAGACTGAACGTTTGCGGCCTTCCAAAATTCATACATTGAAAGCTAACCCCCAGTGTGATGGTGTTAGGAGGTGGGGCCTTTGGGAGGTGATCAGGTCAGGAGGGTGGAGCCCTCATGAACGGGATTAGTGCCTTTATAAAAGGGACCCCACAGAGCTCCCTTGTCCCTTCCACCATGTGAGGACACAGCAAAAAGACAGCCGTCTATGACCTAGGAAGAGGGTCCTCACCAGACACCAAATCTGCCAGCACCTGCATCTTGGACTTCCAGTCTCCTGAACTGTGAGAAACAAATTTCTGTTGTTTATAAGCCACCCAGTCTATGGTACAGCAGCCTGAACAGACTAAAATAATCTCCTTAATCAATTCTCCCCATTCACCCATCCTGCCAGGACCCGTTCCTACTCAATTGTCACCAAAAGTCTATTTCACAATAAGGTGTGAGTGACTGCTAACGTATCTCCATATACATATTTAATTACTGAATTATAATTATATATGTTTTATATATATACACTATATATTTGACATACAATATCCTATTAGTTTCAGGTCTATATCTCCATTTATATTTATATTACCATGCAGTAGAAGACAGCTTTGTTTTTGTTTTTTTGATGTTTTTTTTGGGCAGTGACTTCTGGGCTTCCTCAAACTGCCCTGAGGAAGCCACCCAGGTTGTTTACCGTGTCTATGCAGATGGCAGAGGATCCCAAGAGAACTGGCTTCAAATCCAGTCCTGGTCAGGCCTTATTGTGACCTGGAGCAAACCCATTCATTTCTCTGGGTCTTAGTTGTCACGTAAGGGGATAATGCCACCCATTTAAGGGTTGCCAGATTTAGCAAAACAAAGCAAAGCAAAACAAACCCCCACCCCCAGACGCACAGTTAAATTTGAATTTCAGAAAAACGACAAGTAATTTTTAGTATAAGTACGTCCTAAATATCACATGGGACATACTTACACTAAAAATTTATTTGTTGCTTATCTGAAATGCAAATTGAATAGGGTGTGCTGTGTTTTACCCATTAGCCCCACTCCCATCCCACGGGGATTCTGGCACAATGAAATGGGGCAGTCACGAGAAAGGGCTCAAAGGAGGCAGGTGGTGAAGGCATGGAAACCCCCTTCTCTGCACCCCTGCTTAGATGAGAGCAGAGAGCACGATGGGGCTGGGCGCCTCTCTCCTGGGCTAACAGCAGCCAAGGCGGATTTTCCTGTGCTCACCTTTCTAGCAGGCGCACCTGACGCCCAGGACCCGCCCCTCGAGTCAGGCCCTGAGGGAGCAGGAGGGCGGGCCACCAGGTGCAGCACCTGCTGGAGCCAAGTCGTAGGAGACCAGGCAGAAAAACAATCCCACGGAAAGAGGGAGGCTTATCCAAGCTCCTAACTGCACCCCCCGGCTGGGTGTGTGAGCCCACACCTCGCACGACCCGGTCCCCTCCGGGGCAGAGACGCGTGACAACCCTGGGACTGCAGACACAGAGAGCCTCACAGGACCGCAGCCCACTTACAGGCTCCGGGACCTGGGCAGGCACTTCCCCTCCCTGGGCCTCAGGTGCCTCACCTATAAAATGGGGGTGATGAGAAGGGGACACGTGTAATGCACGTTAAGCGCTCGGCACCGTGAGCACTGTGTATGTGTGCCACCTTCCCCTCTGAGCGGTGACCACACTTCTCAGAAACAATGAAGACGCTGGAACTGGAAGACTTCGGTTTCTGCCTCAGAGGGATTGCTACCTTGCTGTGTGATCTTGGGCAAGTCACTGTTCCTCTCTGGGCCTTCATAATATCAGTGACCTTAAAGGGGCCCACTCTTTTTTGTTTTTTCCCTGAGGAAGATTAGCCCTGAGCTAACATCTATTGCCAATCCTCCTCTTTTTGCTGAGGAAGGTTGGCCCTGGGCTAAGATCCATGCCCATCTTCCTCCATTGCCTTCCTCCATGCCTGTCAGGCATGGCCTGACAAGCGGTGCGTCGGTGCGCGCCCGGGATCCGAACCTGTGAACCCCGGGCCGCCGAGGCGGAGCACGCACACTTAACCGCTATGCCACCCGGCTGGCCTAAAGGGGCCCACGCTTTATGAATCAGATGAACGCTATCGATTATGCATTTCTCCCCTTGGCGGGAACAGGGGTCCTTGCTCTCGTCTGCCCTGCTCAGTTAGGCAGCCGCTTGTCACACGTGGCTTTTTAAGTGTAAATTAATGCAAATGAGCAACTCACTTCCTCAGTTGCAGCAGCCACATTTCAAGTGCACACAGAGACCACTCCCACCACTGCAGTGCTGGTCCAGAGCACAGGAGACGGAGAAGGAAGAAAGTGGCACTGCTTAAGCGCTGGGGCAGCACAGGCCCACAGACACACCGGCGGGAGGACGCGTTCTGCCAAAGGCAGGAGAGCTGCCGAGGAAGGAGCCAGCATCTCTGGAGACACCATCCTGGCCCGTGCCCAAGGACAGAAGAAGGAATTCCATTGTGCACCTTTCCGCCAATGCTGGGTGACCACAGTGCCCTCAGACCCAGGGGCAGGGGGGCGGGCAGTGGTGAAGGGCCTGGTGCCAAAACGCCACACTCCACAGACTCCCTGGCCACGGAAGCCGGAAGCAAGCGTTGCCAGGGAGACGGCGGCTCTCCTGCTGGTTACCAGTGGCGCTGCCCTCGGGGCGGCCTTGATGGCAGGCAGGCCACGCAGAGGAAGCCCCCAGGTGTCTCTTCCCCAGGGCAAGGGGGTGTGGCACACCCACTCAGAGGGGGCTAAGGGAGCCCGGCAGACCCTGCCCTTCTCTAGCACATCTTCTGTTTTCGAGAGGAGCGAGTGCCTGGCATTTAAAAAATGCCCTTTCCCAGCCTCCCTTGCAGCTAGGGCATCCATGTCACCCAGTTCTGGCCAGTGAGGTACAGGAAAAAGTCCCTGAGGAGGCCTGTCCTTTAACAAAAAAGGGGTTTGTTCCTTTCCTGCCTTCTTGCCTAGAAAGTGGACCTGTGGCTGGAGCTGCAGCAGCCACCTTGTAACAAGGAGGCAACATGCACAGGGAAAAAACACACCAAGCAGGGAAAACAGAGTTTGGGGCCTCAACAGCAGGGCTCAGCCCTGCACCTGAATCAAGACGCAGAGCAGCACGGCTGGGCAGGGCTGCCTGGCACGGGAGAGCCTTTGCCTTCTGATACACCAGTTCACCAGAACCAAACCACCACAGCCTGCCCTGCAGGCTGAGACCGAGTTCAGACGGCAGCTATGGGCCAGCAGCCTCTGTGGGTCTGTCCTGTGGCCGGCTCAGCTGTGGCGTCCAGGGAACAGAAGGAGGAGGAGGTGGGGACTGTGGAGGAATCAACACAGCTCAGAAGGGAGGCCACTGCTCCTGCCCCTGGGGAAGTGCCCTCAGTTTGTGACAAGCCTTTTCCAGGCTTAGTTTTTGTGAGCTCATAGGGTTGGGGCGGGAGAGGAAGAAGAGAAGGGAAGAAACTTTCCGTGGCTGAGGGCTCTACCCAGGAAGCGCCTGATCAAAGCCATGGGAGACAGAGACTCTAAGGTCTCCCCGTGAGTTGTGGGTTTCTAAGTCTAGCCTTCCCAAGCCAAAGGTCGAAATAATAATAATAATATAATTCCCGCGTATCACAATACCAATTGCGCCTTTACCAACACTTCCTGAGCACAGATCGTGTCCTCCAGGCTCTGCTGTAAGTATTCTACATGACTTAACTAGTTTAATCCTCACGATAAGCCCACGAAACAGGTCCTATTATCACCACCCCCATTTTACAGATGGGGAAGTCGAGGCACAGGAGTTAGGTGACTTGAGCAAGGCCACACAGAGTGAAGAGCAGAGCTAGGGTTTGAACTGGGCGGTCTTGACCAGCACCCACCGTCTTAACTCCCACCCTGTACTACCTTGCAGGAGGAGAGGGCAACAAACTCTGGGGGTGACACAGAGGGAGCCCAGGGCCCCAGCAGGCTCCTGTGGATGACAGAGGATGGCAGTGGAGGCAGGCATGCCCCCCGGAGGGTGTGAGCTTGCTCTTGTTCCCCGCGGTGGAGCTGGGTGAGCAGCCGCTCCGTGCACGGTGCTCCCAGCCAGCCCTCCACCAGCGCAGAGTCCCCATGCAGCTCCCGGGGCAGGACGTGGCCGTGGAGCCAGCCTGTCTGTTCCAGCAGGGCAACAGCTCTGTTGTGCTCACACCAGCGCTGGGCTCTGGGCAGGCACGCAAGAACGGTGCCCAGGGAGACGTGGGACACGCAGGTCTGGGGTCAGCCAGCTGGGGCTCAGGCTTGCCTCCTCCACTTCCTAGCCACGTGACCTTTGGACAAGTGACGGCTGAGCTTATCTAAAAATGGAGCCAAGACCAGTCTCCCAGGCCCGCGGTTAAAATTAAACAAAGCAATCATCCAAGTGGAAATGTTCCAGAAGATTCCAGATTCCAGATGGGGGTCAAATGTAGCCCGTCACGATCATTATTACAGAAAAGGGGAAACCTCCCTGATGTTCCGAGGGAAGGCCATGGCCTCAATAACCACAGAGCCCTGACCCAGGGGCCTCCCAACCCGGAGGGGCAGAGTAAACGGCAGAGAAAACTGAGTCACCCAGTCTGGGGAGTGAGGGATGCTGGAGGAGCCCAGGGGCTCTGCGTGGAGGCCGGGCTGTGTGAGGCCAGAGGGTCCCGGCTGGGAGTGACTGTCCCTGGCTGCCCATCCTGGGCGGACACCTTGATAAACAGCCAGGCACACATCTGTCAAAACTCCCCGAGCTCAAACTGAGCACTTAAGACCCGTGCATTTCACTGTAAGTAGAGCACACACAAGAAAAAACTACGTATAGCAATAACGTATTCCAGATTTTCCATTAAACTCACTTTTATAGCCTCCTCCCCCCAAATACAGGTACAGAGCCCATCGGCCCCTCCAATAGGCCTCAGGGGAAGGGGAGCCTGGGTCCAACCACCACCAATGGAGGTCACCTCCAGATGACACAGTGCTCTGCTGAACCATGCCACGGTTCCCTTCTGTCCAAACCCCCTTTCTCGCAGAGACGATGGCTGATGGCACTGCCCTTGGTGCTGTGTGCTGAATGCCACAGGCTGGCTTACAGGCTTCATGTCACTGGATCCTCACAGCACCCGTGCAGGGCTGGGGTGGCCCCGCCTGAGGCTCAGAGACATTGGGGGGGTATGGGAACACGCCCAGGTCTGCGGGGCTCTGAAGCGCCCTGCCATGGACTGGTCCAGCAGCGCCTGGGAGGTTGTGATGCTGCTGCTCCTGGGAGCTATTCTTATTGTTATTACTGGGTCTGGGCCAAACCTGCACCACCAGGCTACAAGATGCCCCCCAAGGCAGGCCAAAGCCTCTCGCCTCCTCTCAGGCCCCCAGCTGTGCAGGGCCCTCAAACCCCCCTGGATAGGTACCACCATCTGCATCCTCGCCCAGCCTGGAAGGCCCAAGGTCACAGTAGCTCAGCCTCCTGGCTAAGCCAACCCAACATCCCAGCAGGGCTTCGAGTGCTGGATTCCAACAGCCCAGGGCAGCGGGAGGGGCCACAGCAGCAATGTGGCCCTTGGTTCCAACCCCAGCCCCGAAAGGTCCTCGCAGCTCTGTAAGGGACCAGAACTGCCTCAGGGAAATTCAGCCAGGTTGGTCCTGCACTTCATAGTTTGCCTGTGGAGAGAGAAATCTGGGAACCATAGCTGGGCAGAGCAGCCACAGGGGGCACCTGGGCCCGGGGACAGGTGAGGCGAGCCTTGGTGTCACTTCCTTCTGCTCGGTCCGCCCCCTCAGGCCCAGCCCAGGCACCCTCCTCCTGCCTGCTCCCTGCGTGAGGGGCTGGAAACGTCCTCTTGGGCCGCCTCTGTCCCCGTTCACCATGCAGTCTCTCCTGCCCCTCCCCCAGTCCCCGTTACACGTGGAGACAGACCCACTAGGCCAGAAACAGGCCCAGCAGCAGCAGACAAGAGCTGGGACTATGGTTTGCTGGAGATTTCTGCGTTCTCTGGGACTCTGTCATATGATCCCGACACATTGGGGGTGACCGGGATGCAATACAGCACTCACCAAATACGAGGAGATTCTCAAATAACGCCCAGCCACTTCTCAACAGCATTACCCCCAAGGCCGCCCCCAGGTAATTACCAAGGCCGGCCTGGTAATTCTTAGCAGAGGGCGTGGGCGTGGGTGTTGCAGGTACCCAGGTGATACAGCCTTGGTCTTTTTCTCGTATTTCACAGTAACTGCTTTTCTTTGAGGTGCTGTTGAATCCGTCTTTCCTGCAGAGGCTGTTCCAGTACAGCTGCTGGCCCAGGAACATATCTTTTAGCCAGACCTGCTGTGGGCCCCTGACTGCCCAGCTAATCCTCATCCACGATCCTGCTGCCTAGGGGCCGACAGTTCCCACAGGAGAGCTGTGCCCAACCAGCTCCACACCCCGGACATCCGGTTCTCTCCAGGAACAGGGGTCTGCATCCCTCCATCATCCCCACCAAGCACTGACTGAGCAACGATCGTGTGCCAGGCACCAGCGATGGAGACAGGGTCCCCGCCTTGGAAGCATGACCCTCACGGGCTCAAAAGCAGAGAGGCCCCGGGGGAAGTCGCGGAATCGCAAACCTCCAGCACGCAGTTCCCCAGTTCTCAGGCAGGACTAAACCCGAGGATCCGGGCTGCAGAACGTGGTCCCTGTGGGCAGCTTGGCCTCATCCCTATAATATGCCAGTTTGCCACTCAAGGTCCTCACCTCCTGTCCACTGCACTGTGAGCCCTGGCGGCTGAGTCCTTGACAGGCAGTGGCAGCAATGACTGCTCAGTCCCAAAGCCCGGAGCCCAGGCCTGCTTGGTGGCCTCAAGGAGCCCACTCCTACCTGCTTGCTGAGCAGCAAGCAGGAGGGATGGGCAATGAACGCGCTGGCCTCTCCTCTGGGCCTGGCCGCTGCCTCCTCTGGTCCTTGATGAACACATTTTCCACTGGGGATTAGAAGCCGCGAGCTGGGGCCAGTTCATTCCATTGGGTGGGCTGACGGTGCTGTCCTGGGACACCCTCTTGGTACAAGGAGGAATCTTAGCACACTTGTCAAGCCGAG